TCGTACGCCGTGACGATGGGCAGGGACTGAGAAGCGGCGCCATGGGACATGCAAGCCAGTGGGCGCTCGTCGCAGCGAAGAGGTGGACGCGGTCGCCCTTGACGAGACCGAGCTTGCGCAGACCAGAGCCGACCTGGAGGGTGAGGGCCTCGTACTCGGTGTACGATATGTAGGTGTAAGGGCTGAGCTCGAAGTAGGTCCACTTCTTCTCAACCTCGCGCTCCTCGCCGTCGACAATCTTCTTGACCATCTTGGTATCGATGTGCGTGTCGACGAGCTTGCGAGACCCGATACACCGGGCATTGCCGAACTTGGCGGCGCTCTGCTTGACAAGCTCGTAGATGGTGTCGACGGTGCCGCCGGGCTTGGTGAGAAGCTCAGGCACGGCCTTGGGGTGTCGGCGGGGGGTCGTCTCGCCGTCCACCTTCTCAGCGCCAGGGCTCGGCACTGAGAAGGGGCCCTTGGCCTGCATCCTCGCAACGATGTGCGACTTGGACTTGGAGCTGGAGCCAGTCATGATGGCGGATGTAGCTGGAGGTGTCTGGAACACTTGCGCGTCGCAGGGGTATCAAAAAAAGAAAGAGAAGAGAATGAGAGAGCCAGCAGGGCCAGAGTGGAGGTCAAAAGGTCCTGAGATAGTCGACAGGAGGGCGTGTGCAAAACGCGTGAACAGGAGTTTGCGCCGGTCGAGGGCGAAGGTGGTGGGGAGCAAGAGGGAAGGAGGAGGGACAATGGGTTCAAGGCGGCGGGATAGGGCAAAGAGGTTTATTTGAGGAGAGCAAGGGACTGTGATCTTGGGCGTCCTCTTGGCTTTCCGGTGGAGCTGGGGTTGGGGCGCACGGAAGAGGGCGGCAGAAGAAGCTGGAGGCGGGAGGCAGAGACAATGCCAGGCCAGACCTCAAGTGACGCTGACCAGGAGAGCTCGAGCAGGCGCGTGGTCTGAGCTTGCAGGTTGTAGGTTAGCGTCGCGCTTTTTAGGGGGGCTTGGAGGGGGCCTGGGGGGGGCTTGGTTTGGGGGGGCTGCACCAGGGCTCTAGACAGTGGACAGGGGGGGTAAGAAGTAGGAGGGGGGTAGCCGTGCCCCACCTGAGGTGAGCCAACGGCTTATGGTCGCCTAGGTTTCAGTGGATGCACTGCTGGGCTTCGGCGTACGTGTTGCCTCTTGACGGGGTGCTTACTTGCTGAATGGCTTTCCAGCACATCCGACGAAAGCCATTAGCTTCGTCATCGGCAGCTCTCACACGTGATACTAAATTCTGATATCTGCCTGGTGCCGATGCCGAAGGCAAAGCATCCTCGAAATCCGTCTTTTTGCCCACGAGGTCGATCATCTTGCCATCACGGAGGCAATTCATCGTTTACCCCCCCCCCCCCCCCCCCTTCCACAGACCCCAGGCATCTGATGCTGCTGTACAGCCCGCCTGGTCTCGCCTCCCCCCCTCCTCCTGTTACTACTGCTGCGACTGCTCCCTTACCGTTGGATGGCTTGGCTGGTCGCATTTCATCCAGTCTCTTGGCACTGTAACTCTATTGGTTTTGGCGTCCTGGGCATGAAGGCGCCAATCCGGGGGGGCGCGCGACATGCAAGTATCGGTGTCATTGTTTGATGTGAGCGCCATGCCTATCGTTCCCAACAGCGTCTGGCCAGCGCATCCCCCTCCTTGAGGCATGGCGCAGTTGAGTTGAGTTGAGCTGGCGCTCCATGTCTGTTGGGACGACTAATTCAAACAACGTGTGTAACCGTCGAGGCTATCTCGGCCGCTCGATGAGGGTCAACGTCTCAATACAACACTTCACATGGGAAAAGTGCTCATCGAGAACATGAATCCTGGAATGTAATTACATGCATCCTTAGTCCTTCTTAGAACGACATGGCCTAGGCTCATCTCGGATGCGTCCTGTCGGCCAACTCCCCCTTCCATCCCTGTACGTTCCCATATTCCATGCCCATGTGAAGATTGGGGGAGCGGGTCAACAAGGGGTCAAGGGGCTGCCCGTCACTGCACATCGCAAAAAAGTCGTCCCCTCCTCCCCCTAGAGGAACAAATACAGGTCATCTCATAGGCCCGTCAGTACCAAGACTTCTCCGACCGCGCCTCACGGAGCGCACTTACTCTAATCGTGCCTCGATCCGAACACGTAAAAGCTGGGGGAATAGCTAGCTGTTTTGTCTCCGTGCCCTACCCGACTCTGTCATAATCACATGAGCGCACCTCTCCAGGAAACCCGAACGCCCCTTTCGACATCCCCTAACCCGATCCAGGCCGCGGTAATGTCACGATGTCAGCCTCGAGTGGGATGCCATGGCCTTGGCAAATTGTCCGCATGCGCCTTCATTCGTCCAGTGGTTGATGCGGGCTGAGAATACACGAACCAACAATCTCGTCATGCGCTTCGCTGTATTGGTTGCCCTGCATGTCTACTAATCGTAGGCCGCTCACACGCATGAGAGTTCCCTGTGCACCGGCGGAGGGTTCGTCTCGTCGTCTTCTCTTGCATTGCCCCCGCCAAAGGATCTTGAACTTGATGGATGTGACTGAAGTCCATCATAACTGTGTGAGGATGCGTGTCACAATGTATGTCTGCCAATGTTTCGTTCGGCCCTGCGCGAAGAATCACCGTGATGTGGCATTGCTATTGACGCTGCTGATCCGTCTTTGTGGCCCCTCTACCTATCTACTTCCTCCTTGACCGAGGTGAGGGTGAACAGGTGGGGCCTTTATTGGGCCTTTCCAGTAGAGATCTGCATCGAGGACTCACCACTTCAAGTGCCACCAAAATCGAGCAACTCTTACGACAGACATCGCGATTTGGAAGAACGTCTCCAGCACAACGGGTGTGTATTCTGGACCTGGCTCGGATACTTCCCGAGTCACCGTTAGTCTGGTATCTCCTTGGCTGCGTCACCGCGTGCTCGAGCCGGCGCAATGAGCTCTTCTTTGTCTGTTGCAAAGAAGCAACTTCGAACTCTGATGAAATCGAAGCTTGCAGACATTACACAAGAATCCGTTTCCATACAAAGTCTGCGCCTACCCTGCATGAATTGACAGACAAGCGGTTTTCTGACTGTATCAGGTCGCAGTGTTTTCGAATCTCTCAAGACATTCAGCCCTTATCTCAATGCTGAACGCGTCAGCATTTTCCTGTCTATGCCCTCTGGCGAGGTACAGACTGATGCCATCGTGCGCCATGCTCTCTCGTCCGGGAAACAAGTATTCATACCATATCTTCACAAATCACCGCTTGGCGAAAATGGTGCTCCGTCGAGGGTTATGGATATGGTGCGACTTCGTGATCTCCAAGACTACGAATCGATGCAGCCTGACAAATGGGGCATTCCCAGCATCGACCCAACCACTATCAAAGACAGACAAAGGATTATAGGAGGACCAGATGCACACCATTCGGAGTCAACTACATTGGACATGATTCTGATGCCTGGTGTGGCCTTTGACCTTGACCCCGGGACTAGTCAGATAAGAAGACTAGGTCATGGACGTGGCTTCTATGACTTCTTCTTACAGCGTTACTGGGCCAAAACGGCACTTCTCAGCAGCGGGCAGCCTCATGCTGTTCAGCTCTACGGCCTGGCCCTCTCTGAGCAGTTTGTCTCTCCTGAGTCCGGCGGCCCGGTCCCTGTTGGGCAGTACGACAAGAATCTCCATGGACTGGTTCTCGGCAATGGCGAGATCAAGACCTCATCTGACAGCCCAGACACATCAACACTCCACCGACGATGATGAATCTTAAACATGGTATCATTTTTTCCCCTAAAGCGCCGCCGTTGGCATCCCGTAATCTGGTCGTTTCGCGTGGTAACCGCCAATAGCTCAATCTTCAGGTTGGGTGTGCCGCTACAAGCTTTGGATCAACGACACATTGTCGCCCTTCAGGAGAATTTGTCCTACAGGCTATTAGTCCTATACCTAGCACGATGAGCCTCCAAGCTTACCCAGTGAGCGCCTAGTCTCCTCCTTGTTTGTCTTCGTAATCTGCTTGACCTCGACAGCGTTATCGATGACGAGATTCATGAACTCGTCAAAGCCCTGTGCGGCGCGTCAGCCTCTGCTCCGCTCCCGAAGATATCGTATCCGTGTTTACCCTAATCTTGCCCTCAATCCGGATTGAAAGCTGCTCATACAGCCAGACCTGCACCGTGGCTTGCTGCTGCAGGAGCTTGAAGATGAAGTTGATGGGGGGTAGGAGCACCCTACGACCACCACCGCCTCCGCGACCGGTCATCTTGGTATGCTGAAGTCTGACGGGAAGAAACTGTTCGCTGCGACCCAAAGTGCAATCGCGACTCGATCGGGTGAAACTTCGCCGGAGAACGTGGGGGGGGGCGGTATTCGTCTTAGGCTTCGTGGGTCGCGTTATCGTCGGATACAACCAGCTGCCAGTTTGGAGCTGGAAAACGTTTGAAATCCCCCCCATGCGCCCAGTTCAGGTTCACCGAGGTGAGCGGGTTTCGGCTGGACTATCTTCCCTGCTACCCCGCGCTAGAGATGTGGCGGCCTCCCCCTCCAGCCACATGCACACACACCTACAGGCACCCGTTGACCTGGCTTTTGGCCGGCTGCCCCGCCAGCAACCAGCCTAACATCCAGTTTTATTTTCCTCCACTGGGGGTGACATTGACCCGTGCGACCTCCCCACCAACAACAGCCTTTTAAGCTCAAGTATCGTGTCTAGTCCGACGGCCGTGTTTGCCTACCCAACCAAGACACCTCAGAAGCACACTCCTCTTTCGATACCCTTTTTCTTTGTGCCGCTCGACCTGGTTTCTGAGCTTTGACGCTGCTCAGCAGACAACCCTGGACCGGACCGTCACGTAACATATACCCCTCGACGTCATCCCCCTGCTGCTTGCAAATAGCTCGTGGTTCATCCGACATATATCTACCTCTACTGCGTCAAGATCAAATTCGAACTCCTCCTTGAACGATCCTCCATCATGGCTGCCAACGGTGCGCAGGGATCGTACACTCCCGAGAATGTGCTTGCGGCGGTAGTCACCATGCGCGGTGGGGAGCGAGAGGCCAAGAAGCAGGCACACGAATACCTGGAGCGCTTTCAGAAATCGGTTGGTAGTCACCAGGATGCGAAAGTTTGAGAGGAAAGCGCTGACTTGGACTACAGAAAGATGCTTGGCCGCTCGTCATTGGCATCCTGCAGTCTGATGCCGATGCTGAGGCGAAGCTGTTCGCAGCTACAACGATGCGCGGAAAGGTTGGTTTGATCGCAACTTGCGTCAAATAGGAAAGCTTCCTGGGGCCGTGTGTGCTAACAAAGATGGTAGCTCACATATGACCTTTCCACTGATATTTCGGATTCGGAGCTTCCTGCGCTTAGGGAGCAGATCCTCCTACTCCTGAAGCACTATGCATCCGGTCTTAGGCCGATCAGAGTCCAGCTCTGCGTTTGCTTGGCAGTCCTAGCTATACATATGAAAGACTGGAAGGATGTCCTCCCCGTCGTCGTGTCGGCACTGGAAGGACCCCAGAGTCACACCGCCGTTCTCGACTTCCTTCGCGTGCTTCCCGAAGAAGTCACCGAGGGCCGCAAGATCACCCTATCAGTACGTGGACCGCGCAACTGTCGGCTTTCCTGTGGTGCTCCTCGAACGCCCTTGCTTGGGCCGACGCTTTCGGCGATATAATTCTAATCGACATGGCAGGAAGAAGAGTTGTCTGAGAGGACGAAAGAGCTACTGGGCGACAATGCGGAACGAGTGGTCCACCTACTTGTCAACTATGCACAAGCATCAGGTACGTCCGGGTAGGGCTTCTGTCATGAGGCGAGACTGATCGCGATTATAGCCAAACCAGCCGACGACCCTCTGCTGATGGAGTGCATCACGTCGTGGCTGCGCGAGGTGCCCGTGAATACCATCGTGCGCTCGCCGCTTTGCGACGTTATTTTCAATGGTATTTCTGGCGACTCACCCAGGGAGGCTGCGGAGACCATTTGCACGATCCTTCGAGAGACAAGAGATGTCGACGATAACCAAGACACCATCCAGCTCCTACTTTCCCGGATCCTTCAATTGCAACCTAGGATTGAGAAGGCTGTAGCCGAGGAGGAGACAGAGACATACGAAGCCTTGACGAAGATCCTCGCGACTGCTGCCGAATCATGGGTTGTGGCCATTGTGCGCGAGCCAGGCCACTTCAGGCCTATCGTCGACGCTGTTCTCGAATGTGCTGCCCGCGACAGAGACCGTGAGGTCATCGAGCATACATTCGACTTCTGGTATGAGCTCAAGCAGTACCTTGTTTTGGATATCTACATTGAGGCGAGGCTTCAGCTCGTGGATGTCTACGGCAAGCTTGTGGATGTCCTCTTCAATCACCTCCGCTACCCAGAAGGGAACGAAAACGACCTGTTCGAGGGTGATCGTGAGGCCGAGGAAAGATTCCGCGAATTCAGGCACCGCATGGGTGATACGCTTAAGGATGCCTGCGCCGTCATGGGAGTGACGGACTGTCTGACCAAGGTCCTGAATGGCATTAAGACGTGGTCAGCGGAGAGAAGCACCACCACCTCGGCCCCTGGTGTAGTACCGCACTGGCAGGAGCTCGAGGCCCCCTTATTCGCCATGCGTGCCATGGGTCAAATGGTTCCAAAGGACGAGAATATTGTCCTGCCTCAACTGATGCCCCTCCTGGTGGAGGTGCCCAACCACGAAAAGCTCCGGTTCGCGACCATCATGATCCTCGGCCGCTATACCGAATGGACAGCCGAGCACCGCGAATACCTTGAGCCGCAATTCACCTATATTGTCTCGTCCTTCCACACTGATTCTAAGGAGGTTGTCAGGGCGGCGGCCATGGCGATCAAGTATTTCTGCACTGACTGCAGAGAACTTCTCAGCGACCAAGTCCTCCAACTCCAGACTTTTTACGATCAGATTCTCGACAAGCTTCCCGACATGAGCCAGGAAGAGATCACAGAGGGTGTTGCGAGCGTGGTCGCCGTCCAGCCTGAGGCTGAGATGTACAAGCTTCTCAAGCTGTACTGTGATCCGCTCGTCGCCAGACTGATGAACAAGGCCAACAATGCCACTACCGAGGAAGGCAAGGTGGCTTTGGCAGGTAAGCAGAAGCGTCCAATGAGGTCGGAACTCGTACACTAACCACGTCACAGACCACGTGCAGCTGATCACCATCTTCGTTCAAATCGTCAAGCCGTACTCTGCTCCTGGAGCCGAGAACCAGGCAGTCAAATACTGGCAAGAGGTCTTCCCTGTGCTCGCAAAGATTGTCGAGAACTTCCTCGACTTTGTGCCCATTTGTGAGCGGATCTGCCGGTGCTGGCGCAACATGATCATCTCGTACAGGACGGCCATGACACCACTGCTGCCGGAGCTGGCAAACAAGCTGGCCAGCGGATTCGCCGCCTCCAGGCAAGGCGCATTCCTTTGGGTTACCGCGGCCATCATGCGCGAGTTCTCCGAGGAGCGCGAACACGTCGACCAGGCCATCACTCAGAGCATTTACTCCTTCTTCGAGGCCCAAGCCACGACTTTCTTGCGCGTGCTCAACGAGTTGCGGCCTAGTGAGCTCCCCGACGTCATTGAGGACTTCTTCCGTCTCCTCATTGATGCACTGCTCTACTTCCCCCACAGACTCATCCCTTCGGAGCTGCTGCTTCCAATTTACGAGGCCGCCATCTATGCCCTTACGCTCGAGCAACGCGACCCGTTGTCGGCTACTCTCCACTTCCTGCGGGATCTTTTGACATACGGTGGTGACAACCCGGCCACCTCGGACAAGCTGCCAGCGGACGTTGCAGCGAAGATCCAGGAAATCGTGAAGAGCCTGCTCGGCAGCCACGGCGAAAAGCTCGTCAAGCAGGTGCTGGCTGGCATGATGATCACGTTCCCCCGCGACTGTTTCGCCGACGGTAGCGGTGTGTTGCTCTCCATGTTCGAGCTCCTCCCCGCAGAGACGACTGTCTGGGTCGAGCGAACGCTGCAACTGTTGCCACAGGGCACCGTGACGCCTGCCGAAGCGAACAAGCTTATGATCAAGATCAAGGAGCGCATCGGCGGTGACCAGAACAACATGCGCCAGGTCAGAGCCCTTCTGCAAGACTTCACCAACACATACCGCCGACGATATGTCGCACCTCGCGACGGGCTCGGTCAACTTGAGGCAGATCGTTTCCGCTTCAACCGCTAGAGTCAGCCGGAAGTGGTCTTTGGTCTTTATATGCATTCAGTGGGAGAGGATACCAAGGAGATGATTTATGGCGGGGGCGTCGAAGCTTGCCCGAGCACGCCTGAAAGGAAGACGTACCCTGTGCGTCTGGCTCATCTCATGGTAGATGGTGACTGTGACACGAGACTGAGCACTTCGCGAGAATCAACACCAGACGAAGCCACGAGGCAGGGGAAGCTCGACCCTTCGTGGGTCTAACGCGACGAGCTGTGGGCCGGATTGGTGGGGCGTTTGGAGCCATAGCGATGGCTGGGTTGGAGGTTCGCGGTTCGCTGGGCTAGATGATGGGGGTTTAGGAGGGGGGGATGTGGGGGAGATGATCGCAGAGACATGGTGCATCGATGACATGAGAGGATGATGCCAAGCCTGGGGTCCTGGAGCAAATATAGACATGCAGCATAACGGAGCGCAAACCCCAAATATCAACAGTTTCAAGTTTATGAAGTGACACAGCAGCCGGAGATGTTGCATCATGGGACAGAAGCTGAGGCCACGGTCGTGTGTTGTGCAACACTCCCAGTGTGTGAGGTTGGGGTCGGGTATGCTAGCCTCAGATCTGGTGCTTGTGTGGCGGCCAAACCCGACATTCGGGTGGTTTCCCACAAAATTCTTCGGACAGATCATAGCAAGAGACGCACAACGAATCCTGATGACACTGTGTCGTTCTCGGGCTTGCCAATCAAACCTAGCCTGCGCCGCTGACACGGGCGCGCCCTTCGGAAGTTCCTCTGCCCTATGATGACTGTTCACGAGGAGACGCGCTTGGCGCTTAGTCCGGCCGTCAGCTTATGAGTCTGACGGGAAACATACATAAAGACAGCATTTCGTCCATTCAGAGTAGTGACGGCATGCTGTGCGACGATAAGAAACGTGCAACGGTACACAGCAGGAACCCTCCAACACGCCGAGATGAGCTCCGATGCCATGAACTTGTATGCGAACAGCAAAGTCAGCCTCGTCCCCTGGGACGCTCGCTCCGACGAACACACGACCCGCATGTTTCAGCAGCGTGTCGCCTGCGGCTGGCGGTCAGATGAGGTAGTCGAATGGCGCGAGAAGCAGCTGGAGGGCGGCAAATTCCTCTACTGGGTGGTATGTCTTGCTACACCATGATAGCCCACGCTATGAGTTGCTGCTGCTGCTGACATTGGTCGGTCAGGTCCTCGCCGATGCCATCCCTGGGCGGGAGAAGCTCTTGTCAGAGCATCTGACGACGTATCCCGAGGAAACGACGCCGCTGCGGGACACGGCGGCCGACGTCTGGTTGACACCGCGGGCGCCGAGCGGCGAGGCCTTTTGGCCGATCGGGCACCTGGCGCTGGAGAAGCAGGCGGAGGACGACGCAGACATGGGCCTCGCGAAGGAGGGGTCCGTGTGGATCAAGCACCTGTACATCTCGTGGGCCATCCAGGCGGGCGGCATCGGCAAGGCGTCGATGCAGGCGGTTGAGGCGCTGGCCAAGCTGGAGCCCTTGTTTGGGACGACCATTGTGTTGGACACGGCACAGAAGGAGACGCAGTCTTCTGATGAGTGGAAGAAGTTCTTCTTCACGGACATGGGGAGGCCGATTCCCGAGGTGAGTTTTCTTTCTTCGAATACGAGCACATTATCATGAGATTATTGTGCGAGGACAAGACTGATGGAACTGTCACAGCCGTTTAAGACGAATGAGGAGTGGTATGAGCGGATGGGTTATGAGGTGTTCTATATCGATCCGGTGGGTTTCCCGTGGCGGAACCCTGATGGCGTACACAGCTACATTCCCCGGGTGATGATGAAGAAAACGCTTGTATAAAGGGGCCTGTTCATGTTGTCGTGAGGGGACGGGCGGGAGAAGAGGTGCATTCGTAGAGGGATCTAAATTAGAAAGACTAGGTACATAGGTATGGTATAGGGATGGCACAGCCTGATAGAAAGACAGAGGGTGTTCACTATAGAAGGGAAGATGCTCGGCCCCACAAAGGCGCACCCCCCACGAAGCCCCTCCCCCCCCCTGTGTACCGTAGGCGCCTGCCCCCCGATCTGAAGAACGTCCCACTATAACACCTGACTTCGCGGCAAGACGTGGCAGAGCGCGCCCCCTGTCGACTGATGGGCAGCCAAATCAACCTGTCAACGCGCCTGGCAACTTCCTCCAACAGTTGCTTCCACGACCAGCGTGATGCTGTCCCTGCTTCCAACCACAGCACACCACCTTCCTCGCACTCACGCAGGACAATCTTCTCCACATCTACTCGCCGGTCTCTTTCTGGGACACTGAATCATCAGCTCAACATTGCCTTGCGCCTGCAACACCTTGGAGCCGCGCTGTCTCGCTCCTTTATTGGCGACATCCTAGGCTGTCCACCAGATCCGACTTCGCCGAGGAGATTCGAGTGCCGCAATCCAGTGCAGCAACTGACCGCAGTGCAGCATTCAATATCTACCTCGAACAGATCGACCTTCGTGGCGACGACGCATAGGCAATATGCCGCCCAGCAACAGCATCAGTAGAATGGCGCAGTATGCCCGTGGCTTGCCTGACCCAAACGCCAACCAAACACATAAAGGTGCCAGCACATACTTTCCGCCCGTGTCCAATCCGCGGGACGCCATGGCGGACTCGATCAAAATGCCTCTGCCTAGAGCGTCGGCACCTTTGCGCGCTTCTGCCCCGCCTCGTGAAGTCGGCGCTCCCACCGTTGAGCCTCCATCTTCTCCTGGAGTCGGAGCACTCCCCAACCCGCCTCGCGGCCTCCTCGCCCGACGACGAACAAACTCAGCCGACCACCCTGATCGGCTCTGGGCGCCCTCGTTGCCATCCGCCATCGCCACACCAGCAGGCTCGCCCACGTCTACCTCGGCCGAAACACAGTACAATGATCGTGACCGAGACTATGACTTGGGGATCACACGACGAGCAGCCTCGACCGTGGCTGTACCGAGGAGCCCTCCGCGCTACATAGAACCCATTCGGCCCCTGCACGCGAACGGACTGGGAAGCCACAACGGAATGCGAGATGGACTGCAAGGCAACAACCCTCGACCTCGGTGGATGGGCGACCCGAGCATGGGGTTCCTTCCGTCCCCAACAAAACGCCAGACCGAGCTTCCAATTCATAACGTGAATCCTTTGAAGCCGTTTCCCGAGGTTTCCAATCTTGTCAAAGAAGAGTACATCAAGCAGGAACACCGAAAGTCGCCAAATCGTGACAGGCCCTTGCCCCACCAGTCGAAGGGACACAGAGACCAAGCCAGAGTCCAACCGCGTTCGGCGTTTTTCGACCATGATGCCGACTCTGATGTGAGGAGCCTTCGGTCTGACATGCCTCTCAGTGACGAGGAGCCCGGCACCCCTCGGCCTCTGCAGAGAGAGGGCCGCAGGGCCGATGTCTTCTCGGACGACCCTCCACCGCCCTGGCCCGCCAACAGAGTCATCACCGTCAGCGGCAGGAGTAAGAAGCGCGACCGCAACAACGTCGATTACGATGACAAGACTCTTATGCGCATGAGCTACTCGGACCTGCAGAATCAGCCCTTTGATGCGGACCCCGCCCAAGCCGCAAGCGGGGCTGACAAGTCCGTTGTCGGCGAGACGTTGCCCGAGAAGCTGGAGCATTACCGGAGCAAGAGCACCACGGAGCAGAAGCAGTTCTTCGCCGAGCTGGACCTGGGCGATTGGGAGCGATCGGGCGACTGGTTTCTGGAGCAGTTTGCCGTGTGGCGCAGAAGCTAAAGGAGACCCGACAGATAACGAGCACTGTGGAGACATTT